GGCTTACGTAAGGCTGCTACACGTAACCTACGTAAAGCTTCTATACGTAACTTACGTAAGGCTGCCACACTTAACTTACGTAAGGCTGCCATATGTAACGCACGTCGCTGCTTTACGTAACGCACGTCGCTAGCATTGCTTTACGTAATACGTAAAGCATTGCAGCTAAGCTGCTATACGTAGCCTACGTAAGGCTGCCATACGTAACTTACGTAAGGCTGCCATACGTAACGCACGTTGCTGCCTTACGTAACGCACGTCGCTGCCTTACGTAACGCACGCTAGTGCTTTAAATATAAGTAATTTGCAAAAGGGTCTGGGACTTCCTTAATAAAAAAGGGGGTTTAAAAGGGTCCCCCCTTTATATTAAATTATTAAATATAAGTAATTCGCAAAAGGGTATGGGATTTCTTAGTAAAAAGGGGGGTTTAAGAGGGTCCTCCCCTTATATAAAATTATTAAATATAAGCAATTCGCAAAGTAGTCTAGAGTTTCTTTAGAAAAGGGGGTTTAAACGGATTCCCTTTTTATAATAAATTAATAAATATAATTAATTCGCAAAAGGGTATAGGATTTCTTAGTAAAAAAAGGGGTTTAAGAGGTTCCCCTCTTTATATAAAATTATTAGATATAAGTAATTTGCAAAAGGGTCTGGGACTTCCTTGATAAAAATGGGGGTTTAAGGGGGTCCTTTCCTTATATTAAATTATCAAATACCAGGGCAGAGGACCAAGTTCTCTGTAGTGTCACCAACGGGCTAATTACTCATTAGTATATTATTAAATTAGATTTTTATAAAATTAATAATTAGCCCGTTGATAATATTATATCGGACTTTATGTTTTGCTAAATATCAAACTTATTAAATAGATCGTAAAATAAAAGTAAATATATATAAAAGTATTATTATATTAAAAACTATCGAGTTTATAATTTATTATAAAAGGGAGACCCTTTTAAACCCTTTTTTATTACTCATCTTTTCATTTTTATACCGGGGAGACCCCGGACCCTTTTTATTACTTATAATTATATATTTATTTATATTACGAAAATATTAGAAGTTACAGAAGTTATAGAAGTTATAAAAGTTATAGAAGTTGCAGAAGTTATAGAAGTTACAGAAGTTACAGAAGTTATAGAAGTTATAAAAGTTATAGAAGTTACAAAAGTTATAGAAGTTACAAAAGTTATAGAAGTTAC